ATTAAACAACCACAATATGCATTTTATTTAAATAATCAAACAGATGATCATTTGTTTGGATTTGGATGTAAGAGACACAGATTAAATAGTACTTATGTTATAAAAAAAATAATAATCCATTAATTGTCAATATGTAGATAAAATAATGAAAGAGAGAACTTAAATAATGACGTTTTAAAATCATTACTTACTAAAAATATTGAGTTTAATTTAAACATTACAGACATAAAACACAACCAATATTTTGTAATTTTATTATTAATTATAAAATTTGATATTAATAATATTTAAATTAATTCAATTCTTTTTAATTTCTTATTTTTCTCAATAATTCAATAAATATTATATCTCATTTTATTATATAATACTATAAAACATTAATCTCTATGAATTTGAAACACCTCTTCATTTCCTCCATCCACTTTATTTTTTAAGTGTCTGTATATTCAATTAAAAAAATTGACCCTCTAAAAATGCTAAGTAAATTTATTATGAATAACAAATAAATAAAACGCTATTTTACAAAACTAATATAATAACGAATATGTCATATGTCTTTCAATAAATAAAGAAAAGTTAAACACTTCTAAACACAAAAAAACTATAAAACCTGCAATCAAACGGATTTGATAAAGTTCTTTAAGCAAAATAATAGTAAATTTTGAATATTGTTATAAAAAAAGGTGTTTGTAACCTTTACTTCTGTTGATTAAATGATATTATCTTATTGATTTTTTTTTTTGAAATAGAACATCAACAATAAGAATAAGATGATAAATTCAACTTGTTGAAATAACCTTAAACTATAAGCATTTTGCTCCTATCATGATACTTTTATAAAACCATAATATGATTTTTTCTTATCTAAGTTATAAGTTTTTTTTTAAATAATACAATAAAAACATTTAACCTTCTTAGATAAATTGCATGAAGACTACATATTATTCTTTCAATTTAAAAAAACAGTCATATTAAAAAGAAATTAACGGAAATATAACTTCATTACTATCACTAATCTTCTTAATAACGTTAGAAACTAAAAAATTGATAATAGAGAAAGTACATAATCGAAGAGTCATATGTTCTTATTAAAATGATTTTATTAGAACTTGTTTTTAGAACTACTCTTTTTTGTTTTTTAGATATGTTTTTAAATAAATAATTTTTAATAACATAATAATAAACTATAATTAATTAATAAAAAAGAACTAAAAATCTAAATTTAAAATAAAGTATTTTTAGAAGAATAATGAAAAATTTGAAAAAAAAATAATAAGTAATTAATTAAGTATTAATAGAACTAGCTTCTATTCTTCCTGGCTCAGGGGAGACTAATCCCATCCCTTCGTCTTCATCTTCAAGCAGCTCTACGGAGTATAAAAAAATGAAAAAATAAAAAATAAAATAATAAGAAAGATGATAGTTTATTTAATAAAAAATATAATTTTAATATATTATTTTTTTAATATTTTAGGAAATTATTAAAAAAAAAATTAAGATTAAACATCATTAATATTAACATATCTTTTTGCTAAGAACTAAGAAACATTAATTAAATGAGTAAAATAGTAGGTATTACTATTAATGACTCTAAAATCTATTTCTCAATAATAGAACGTTCATATCCAACATGTGAAAGAATTAGACCATTAGATTTAGCTATATCTTTTCATGATGGAAAATTAATGTTTTTTACTGATGCGTTAAAGGCGGTTTGTTAGTTAAAAATAAATTAAATCAAATAAAACTTAAAATAATTTCTTAATAATATAGAAGTCATGTATTTCATCTTTAACAGATATTAAAGCACTTAAAAGTAAAATAGAACAAGACGCTAATTGCCAGAAAGTTGTTTCAGATGAATATGAAATATGGATTTTATTAATGAAACAAATAAATGAATATGTCCAAGCTCAATTAAATTGTTCAGAACAATTACAATATATTATTGCTATTCCAGAAAATTCACTTGAAATATTTAGAGATATTATTTCTATTGCTTGTAAAGTAAATCAAATGACATTACTTAGAATTATCAATGTAAATTGTTGTAGTATTTTAGAATATGCCACAACAGAATTTTACACAACAAAAAATAATGGCTATAAAAATAAACTTATATTAGGTATTAATTTAGATGACTGTCATACTTCTATAACATCATATTTTGTTTCAAGGACAGAAGCTATTAAAATTAATGAAGTAAGTTGTAGTATTGGACAAAGAGATTTTCTTTCATTAACAGCAAATATGCTTAATATTAATGAAGAAAGTAAATTTAATAATGATATTGATACTTGGAATTACAAACACAGAAAAGCTGCTGAATCAATATATGATATTATTAACAGATTTTCTGATTCTAATGTTACACAAACATATTATACTAATGATGATGGTGACTCTATTGAAATTACTAAAGAACAATTAAAAGAGTCATTTGAAGATTTTATTAAAAAATTAGTTGGTTTAGTTTCAGACACAATAAAGAAAACACAAGAAATCATTAAAGAAATTAAATTTGAAAATGTCATTGATGCTTCAACAAATACTGTTATATCATCTCAATTAGAAGATATGAAAAATCTAGAAATTACTACGTTATTTTTCTGTGGAGAACATAAAAATTCATTTGTTAATAGAGAAATTGAACATACAGTTGGTGTTAATTGTGAACCTTCAGTTCATCAAAAAGAAATTAATGCAGAAGGTTGTGGTTGGTATGTACGTAAAACAGAATGGAAAGGAATGACTGGTAAAGAATTATTCTTATTTGAAGACTTTAATAAATGTATTTCATTCGATACAGTTATTCAACCAGATCAACTTTTTATTCAGAACATTCAAAATAATCAAACAATTGAAATAATTAAAGTCCCACAATTAACGTCTGAATTAATTAAGCTTCCACCATTGGACCAAGGAACATACAAAATTCTATTTAAAAAATTAGAGTATGGTTGTGATGACACTTGTTTAAAACAAGAAATCTGTATTGGAGAATTTAATGTTCAAGATAAGAATGATGTATTAAAATTATGTATTCAAAAGTTTATGAATAACCTTCAAGGAACTGTTGCTTGTTTTTATGCTGATGAGCCTTCTGACTATCTTTTAGAAAAAGGGTGTGAAGGTTGTGAAAGAGATCCAGAAACATATGGACCATCTGGAAAAGAGTTTGATGTATCAATATTCTCTAATTGTAATATTGGAGATGAAGACTTGGATTTAGTATGGAAAGAAATAAAAGAAAATGGAGGTGTTGAAGCATTAGAAAGATATTCTGAAATTACGTTGACTGACAAAGATGTTGATACTCAAAAATATTTGCAAGTTTTTGAAAGGCAAAAAGTTCAAATGGAAAGAGTTGAAAAAGCATCTCAAGTTGCTTCAGAAATTAGAACTGATAAAATGAAAAAACTTATTAAAGAAGTTGGTGAAAATTATAAAAGGGATATTATAAAGGAATTTAACAAGATGGTTCAAAAAAATAAAGACAATCCTGAAGAACTTGAAAGTAAATGGAATGAACTTGTTAGTCTCTATAAAAATAAGTGACTCTAATTTTTTCATTATTTTAAATTATTTTAAAATTAAATTCTTTATAAAGAACTAATTTAATAAAATTTTATCTATTGTTATTTATTATATTATTATTTTTCTTCTTTCATTTAATTCATTGTTAAATTTTTATTTGGTTGTTTTAATTTATTTTATTTACAATTATTTGTATTCATGTCTTGTTTATAATTGAAATAAAAATTAAATAATAACTTCTATCTCAGTTTATTCTCTTCTGTCAATAATATCCCTTTGTTTATATTCTTAATTTTTTCTTTTTTCACTTAAATTCATTTGAGTGTTAAAACTAAATTCTGTTTTTGAATTTTTATTATTGATTTCTCCTCAAATATTTTCAATGAATTTACTTTTATTCTCCTATTATCCCTTCCTCTTTTCTTCAAATAAATAGGCACATTTTATACTAACAGTCTATGCTCATTAAACATAAAAACATATTTCTTTCCTTTCTTTTTTTTTCAATTTGTGTATGTTATTTAAAAGAAAACTATTTACTTGTTGTTGATAAATACTTTAAATAACTACATATCTAAGGTAATCTGATCACTATTGGAAATACTCTGAAAAGTTATTTTGTTTTGATGATTTAATCAGTAGATTAAAGATATTTTTAAGAAAGAATAAACCTCTAATTAACATAGTATAGAAACATTTCTATGCAAAAGGATTTATTGCAACAAGTGAAAAGATATATTCAATTTAGATGATAAAGAGCAATGTGCTAATTAGTTCTACATAACAAACGAGATTTTAAGAAGATATGAGAAAATAAGATTA